ATAGAAAAAGAGAAAACCATGATGTTATTATAAGGCAGTTACTCCACCTAGTAGAGTTGAACACTATGAAGCTGATTTATTGTAATAAAAGTGAATGTCCACACGTATGATATGATTAAAAATAAACTAACAGATCAGATGTAGCTTTTGAAAGACCTTTTTTATTTGTATTGCTAATATAGTGCTGGCACAGTGATTGCATTCCAGAACCATTGAAATATTTGAATTATGATAAATGTAAAGAATATAGGTTATTTTTTATAGCAAATTTATTGTACGAGTTTAAATAAATTACAAAATAAAAAAGTATATATTACAGATTTTCGATATCCTAAAGAAATAAAGAGTGGTTGAGTTAGCTGCTATAGTTAAATAACCATTATTTGTAACCTCTGTTTATTCCTTGCTTCTTTCTTTTTGTTTTCATTTTCCAGTTTTCAGAAACATTACTTATATTTAGCCATATATATTTGTGCGAGTTTGTATATATTCTTGTAGTTTTAAGATGTCTTTAGAATTTGTCATTACTTTTTAGATGTTCCTTCCATTACATACCTCCATGTACCTTATTTTTCTTCACAATAGAATGTTTTCCTTGCAGACCGAAAGATCTGAATACTCTAAAGAAGAAGCAGACGACCTGGATGAGGATGAAGGGGTGGCAGGAGAAGTAATGTCGGGGGAAGAAGAGCAGGAACAAGAACCAGAAGAGGAAGAAGAGGAAGAGGAAGAGGAAGAAGAAGAAGGAGCATTAGGGGAGGGGGAAGGCCTCTCCCATGGTGTTCTCTCAGATGTCGAAGATGGCTATGAACAATCTAACTCTTCACTTCCCAATTCTGACATATCCACAGTATGTGTGATGAGTGATTTACTTTTGCAGTATTTTTATGCATGTACGATTATTTATGCTTTTATGCTCCAGGGAGGAGAGTTGGGTTGAGGGGGTATTTACATTAGTTATTTTGTGAATTACTGTTATGTTCATTTGTTTATTTCTTTCTTAAGAGGTAAAATGCTCATCTTCCTAATTAACCTCATACCAATGGGCCACATGCTGAGGGGTCATAATAAACTGCTCAATCTGTGGAGTGTGGCTGTACGCCACGGCGATGCGCCAAAGTGCTACGAGCTGGGGGTTCATGTTGATGTAGCGAACTCCCACACTCAGAGTCGGCTCGTTGTCATTAATCTCCAGAGCATAGTTTTTATTTTCTTAACCTGTCAGTAAAGGGTTAAATGGATAAAATGAATTATAAGCATCCTTGAGTGGAAGATAGGAAGCTTTCACTTGAATAATATATATATATTTTTTTTTTTTTTTTTTCTGCACTTAGAGACATTATCAGTCATATCCATATTGTTCTTATTATGTAGGATCTCTCCTTTGTGCTGAATAAAGAAAGAGTCTAATCCTTTCGCAGACGGAACTGCTACAAGTTGATTTGAGTGAGGACGGGACACAATTCATTATCGGTCCTGGTGGCTTTGGAGATATGATGTCAAGAGCTTCGTCACTAGCAGGAGATGATGAGAGAAATGGTGACAAAGAGCAGAAGAAGCCATTTGTTTGTCCTCTCTGTGGGCAGTCATTTACACGTCGTGACAACCTTGCCAACCATATCAAGGTAAGAAACAGAGAAGACATTTTTGGCAATGTATGGTAAAGAAATGATGTGTTCTCTCATTGAGGAAATAAAATAAGAAAGATCCAGACATACTATTTTACCTTAATGGTGTATAATCTTACTCAAAGATAAACCATATGATACTTGAAATATGCTTGTCAATTTGGATTATACTAAAGAAATTTACGACAAATCAAAAGGTATCAGAGACAAAAGAGTAATAGCAATTCAGACACAAAAACAAAATCTGTAAAAAAATAATGTTTGTCTTAACCCATTCGCGCCGGGTAAAAATGAACAAAAAATGGGGGAAATGCTGTGTTCATTTTTTATGTTTTTTAATGAAATTTCTCTACATTAGATGGCTCTGCTTTACCGGATTTCATTTGGCGGGAAAATGTATTTTTCACTAGTGCTATGAATATCGATGGTTATTTTTATTATAAACATTATAATTACTCTAATGTTATAAACATTAGTAACAGGAAAATAAGATAACGCAAAATAATTTCGTAAATTAAAGAAAAGGGTAAACAGACGAGACAGGCAGTACAAGTGGAGCCATCTATGTTTGTAAACAATCAAATAAGTAAACTCAAATTGGGCCCGTCACCTATACGTGACGCCCGGCGCGAATGGGTTTAATAAGGTTATTTTTAATATCATTCTGAAGTCGAAAAATGATTCCTCCAACTTTTTAAGACATACTGTGAAAAATAGTAAACCCCAGGAAAGTAAGTACAGTCATACACATACTTACCAACAACAGCAGAGCAACAGGACATTTGATTAGGCCTATGCAGAAGTAGATGGGAGGGGATTGTCAGCCATGTCATCATCCACATCCTCCAGGTCAGGTATATTACAGGACTTTGCCTTTTCAAGGAGGGAAACAGAGTGATGGGGATGGCTGGGAAGGAATTTTTCACTTTCATTTTCTATACAGCTTTTAAAGAATGAATCAAGAATTGATTGTTTCATCAAGGAAATTAGGAAGAAATAAGCAACTTTTGATTCATTTATGGTAATTAAACTTGGCTAATGATCAGTAAAGTGGGGTAAATGGTGCACATCAACAGTGTCCTTATTTTGTGCCAGCCTCATTTGGTAATCCTAACTTTGTTTTGGACACCTAATTTTGTATAGCTGGACTTACATGTTCGGAAAAAAATGACGCCTGTATTTCATAGTGAAACCAAACTGCTGTGATCTGAGAAAGTGTTAATGGTGTGGGGTATGCCACTATGCAGTGCTATCTAGAAACCAATCCACTGTAGCCATTGAATGATAATCTGCCATCACTGTCTAGTGGATTATTCTCTATGATCCAGATGATATGACCATCATGTCCTGAAAAAAATTGGCTTCATGATGTAAACATTCTATCATGGGAAAATTTGGACGAAAGCCAGGGTGACGGAATCTTGCTGCCGTGGGAATTTCATCTAAAAATCGTGGTGACAGGAATGACATACCACAAGTGCACAAAGCTCTTGGAGGGTCATTAGATTTGGTGGACATTTAGGAAGGGGCTTTTTCATTATTTCACATTTTGGGATAGTGGGCATTCAAGTAAGCCAAATGGCTGTATTTTGGGCCATGTAATGGCAGTGAAGCACCCAGAGCCAATTGGTTGAAAGGTATTGTGTAGAAAATGAATTGAATGAAATCCTCCCATTCACTCCCAGCACTCTTTATTTCATAAGCAATTATCTTGAAGCTGAATTTAAGAAATTAGATAACAATGAAGGCAACAGTCCCCTCCCATCCACTTCGACATAGGCTATATCACATACCCATATCCCTTTGTTATCATCAGTGAGCATATAGATGATCATTCATAATTTTTTAAATTTACTTTTGTGTCTCATTTATATGTTTGAAATAGTTTAACAGACTCATCATTTTTATATTATTTTGTCAAATGTATATAAGCTTTTGGGATACACCCCTCTTGTCAGCCATGCTACAATTCTCAGTTAATCCATAATATAGTTTGTATTTACATGCTTTTTCATTTGTCACATTTTCATGATCCATATTAACCTGTTGATGCTGGGACTACACCTTATTTTCTTTTTATTAATTATGTCTACACTTAGATGGCTTTACAAGGGGTTAGTTACCAAGGAGCAAGTTATAGGGCCTACCTTACCTTACCTATTTATCACATTCCTAGGGTTAGGAAAGGTTTTGATTTTTCTTAATGTTATTCATAATAGTCATGATTATTATAATAATGATGATAATGATGATGATTATGTTATTAACTCAACATGAGTGGTCTTCTTTAGCAGCTGTGTATACTGCCAACTGGCATATTTCTCATTGAACTCCCCTCAGTGACTCTATTCCTGAATCCTCGCTGAAATTTGATGAGCATGATTGCTTTTACATGTACCCAATTTTACATGTTTTTACACTATCAAAAGCTCACTGTTGCCAACTTTTTACTTTATTAACCCAATGGTGATGGGTGAAAAAAACTAAAAAAAAAAAAAAAAAAACTAAAAAAAAAAAAAAAAAAAACGCAAACAATGGCAGCACGCACTTTGAGCGCGTGAGTTCGGTAAATCAGACCGAATCACTGGCTCACCGCACTTTGGCACGCCGCTTCACACAAACACTAATCAGGTGAAGCCTGAATATGATCATATTCACAACTTGTATGCTACGTTGCATGAATGATAAAAAGGGTATTATTTCCTATTCGTCATATAACAAACGGAAATATAATGTATTGAAAAGTATAGAAGTACATTGAATAGGGGGAAAAATATCATGTCCTTATTGATCATATACTCTGAAGCTAAGTTAGAGAGAGAAAGAGAGAGAATTAAGAATTTAACCCCTTGGTGCCGGGTGACGCCGATCGGCGTGTAAACAAAGAGCTCGAAAGCTGGCGTGCAGCCAAACGAGCCGGCGGCGCGCCAAAGTGCGGCGAGCCAGTGATTCGGGCTGATGTCCCCTACTCACGCGCTCAAAGTCGGCTCGCCACCTTTGTTTGTTTAAGCGTAGAGTTTTTTTTTTCTTTTGTACACCCCGCGCCATTGGGTTAAGGAATGGGGTAGACAAGAAAGATCCGTTATGGTTAGGAATTGACTCCTTGGTGATGTTAAGTGCTTTTGAAACCATCAGTGTCAAAACAAAATTGATAAAACAAACAGTGCATGTACTTGGATACATGTACTGTCCACTGCATTTTTTTTTGTGAATTTTGTTATGCACAAAAGATTCCACAAATACTCTGCCACTTACTCCACCCCTCCTTTTTTCAGCTAATATTGATTTTATTATTATTACTATCATTACTGACATTATGATTATGATGTGAAAATACTTATAACAATGAAAACAAAAAAGAATCTATCCAAGATTCCTTAACAGGTGGGATAAAAAAGGCATTTGTGCGTGATAGGTTAATCATGAGAATGTAAGATAGACTTGGTCAGGCTACAGTGTTAAGTTATCTGATTGACAGTATTTATTCAAATTTTACCTTGATAAATTTGTGTAAGAGAATTATTGCAAAATGTCATATTTCCAGACCCACACCGGTGACCGTCCGTTTATGTGCCAGTATTGCCACAAGTGCTTCTCAAGGAAGGACTATTTGAAGCAGCATGAACGCATCCACACTGGAGAGAAGCCCTATCCCTGTGACATCTGTGGTCGTGCATTTACCAGGAAAGAAGGACTGACAGACCACATGCGTTGTCATTCTGACTTCCGAGCCTTTTCCTGTGAAACATGTGGCAAGAGCTTCAAGCAAAAATGTGGTTTGCGCTTCCATAAGAGGAATTATAAACATTAACCTGCCATAAAGATCTCCAACACTTAATTCACTGTTCCAATTATGAGGCGGATATGGATAGCCTGTCTCTCAATTAGTTGGATGTGGTCCCTTTAAAAATATGCCAGATAAAGGGCTAATTAATGCCCCTGTACTAAGTTAGGTCGTGCCATTTCCTTTATGTTGAGCACCTAATTTCTGTGTTCAGATAGTCAAATTTACCCTGAGCTTTGTCTATGGCCCTGGCCAGATGTATATTTTGGGTATATGATTATGGTTAGTGAAATATCACAACTTGTATATTGCTGCTCACATACAGGGAACTTTGTGTAAATTTGATTTATGTTTTGACTTCAACAGGCTTAATGTATGGCAAAGGTTTTGCAAAATGGAAATTGACTTTAAAATGTTAGATTAATCTCAGGTAAGCTGTATTAATAACAGTGCTTACCTTGGTGGAGTCATTACCTAAAATTATGCAATCCTAATATCAGTTTTAAAATATACTTTATATTCTTACAACTTTTGATATTTTCTTCATCTTTTATAGATATATAATGTTTAAAAATTCAAATTTATAACATAATGCAGGCCTCCTAAACTTGGTCGTATGTTACTTGTGTATTTATGACTCGCACAGAAGAATTTGTATGACACCTTTTTTCATGTTTGATACTCTCTCCTCTAACTACACTTTAGGTGCTCTTTGTGGTATGTTGCACTCCTTGAGTGCTGTTTTCTTCTGCCTTTTATAAGTTAAGATTAGATGCACCAGTATTTATTTAATTATGAAAATGATTTTTTTGTAAAAATAAAAAACAATAAGATTATGTTATAAATAATATATAATTAAGAAATAAAGAAATATTACACCCTCATCTTTTAAACTGTAATCAAAAACTTTAAGTCTTGATCATTAAAAAATTGAGGTCATCAGTGGAAAACTTGTTTAAAGGCAGGAATGTCACCTTTTGTCTACAGCTCATGTTTCAGGGCAACACTTTTTATGGATTTACTTTGATTGTATCCAGACCTGAAATCAGAGTTGAAATAAAACAATGCAGGAAAACAAAACAGAATTTTCTACTAACACTTGATATGAGGGTTATTGCATAGGCTTCATTTAAAGTTTTGAGGAAGATATCACAGTAATAGGAAAATTTGAGTGGTCAGTGGCTGTTCTCCAAGTGCATATTGGTTATAGTATTCTCCCACTGGGTAAGAAATCCACATTATATGTGTATGTGTATGTGTATGTGTGTGTGTGTGTGTGTGTGTGTGTGTGTGTGTGTGTGCGTGCGTGCGTGCGTGCGTGCGTGCGTGCGTGCGTGCGTGCGTGCGTGCGTGCGTGTGTGTATGTATACATATATATGTATGTATATGTATATATATACATATATATGTATGTATATGTATATATATACATATATATGTATGTATATGTATATATATACATATATATGTATGTATATGTATATATATACATATATATGTATGTATATGTATATATATACATATATATGTATGTATATGTATATATATACATATATATGTATGTATATGTATATATATACATATATATGTATGTATATGTATATATATACATATATATGTATATATATACATATATATGTATATATATACATATATATGTATGTATATGTATATATATACATATATATGTATGTATATGTATATATATACATATATATGTATGTATATGTATATATATACATATATATGTATGTATATGTATATATATACATATATATGTATGTATATGTATATATATACATATATGTATAGATATATGTATACATCATATATATGTATGTATGTATGTATTTATATGTATTTATATACATATACATGTACGTACATATATATATATATATATATATATATATATATATATATATATATATATATATATATATATATATATATATATATATTAGTCCTGCAGGTTCTAGAGTAAAGCAATAACATAGACTTAACAACTTTAGGAAAGATGGGAAAGGTAAGGGAGATACAGGAAAGATTTCATGTTTTGGCTGCCTTGGTAGTTTTCCACTGAGGGTCTTAGTTTATGTACCTGCAGCTAGAGCAGTTTAGTATTTTCCTTGTTAACATATCACATATGAAAAGATCTTTGTTCTTTATTAATTATCAAATGCCAGTATCTTTTTTGTTTTCATAATCACCACCTTATTTCTGTAATTTCTGTAATATATGCACTTGGAATCTGATCTCAAATGGAAGCATGCAGGAGGAATGCCTGTGTGAGCACTGCAGACAATACAGCATAGACCTGTAGTGTTCTGAGGTGTTACTTTTGTTTATCATCTCTTTTAATGTTCACATCAAGTCTTGTGAGATCCAAATATGTAGGCTCATAATACATTTCTTGATTATTAATTCTAACCAGTTCCATGTTCTTTGATTTAAATGGATGCTCTCAAAAAAATAAGAAAATAAAAAAATTAAAAGCCCAGTAAGTGTTGATGTTTGAAATGGTTTCTAATGCAAGGCTTGACAGAACAGAGAGTCAAACAACACTTTAATTTTTACAAGAGTTTTAAGCCTTTTGTTACTGGTTTTATACTTTGTCACAGCAGATATTCCTTGTCAGAAAAATGTGCCATTAAATTTTAAGAGTTAAATTGATTCTGTTGATAATCAGGAAGCAGCACTTGGGCCATTAATATAGTTTAACCTATAATTTCAGATCTTCAGAAAATTCATTGTAGAAGCAATAAATGTCAGACATTAACTGTGTATTATATCTAAATAACAGAAATAACAAATGAAAGATTTCTATTTAGAAGAAAATTCATAAAGAAAATTGAAGCAATGAAATGGGGACCTTGAAATCATGCAATCTAAAACTGAAAATATTTTTGACCTCCACCATAATTTTTTATTTCTTATTTTTTGAAACTCAATTTTCACTTCATTGTCTATCAAAGCCATCTTTAGCTCTAGTCAGTGAATCATTTTGGCATTCTGAAATTTTAGTGTTAGCTAGTTTGGCCAGGTTTTCTGATTCCAGAGATCATTTACTGTAACTTTAGGCTGGAGAACTATTTTGTTTTAAATGCAGTGGTAGGCAGTGTAAGATTTATCCAAATAGTTTTTTCATGTGAAGTAAGTGGAAGCTTTTAGTTAATTTTTTTTTTTTATATAATGTCACCTTGAGAATTTAACATCATTCTCAAACTGTCAGAATTGATCTGTCCATTTTTTTTTTTTTTTTTTTTATTTGTTAAGCAGAACTGGTGCTTTGTTAAAAGTATATTTATGTATGCAAGCTATGACTGACAACAAATATGTTTGAAAAGATTTCATTTGATACAATACCATTGACAATTTAGTTAGGCACAGGATCATTTAATAATTGCTTAGGATTGCTAAGAGACCTAAGTACTGTGTGCCATAAAGCTTGCTGTTGCCCCTCCCAGTCCCAGGCCTAGCACAGACTGGTGCCAGTACCTCAAGTCATTTGTCTCTTCTGTGTGAATTCTGATACCAAGATGCATTTCACACTCATCTTGTATATTGATCACAAGCAGTGCCTATTAAATGCAACATTCTCGGACTAGGCGTCTTTGAGAAACAAATTTGTCCATGTTTCCTTGCATGTTTTTTCAAATTCTGACAGATGTCTTTAGAGAAGAAAGGGTTCTTGGAAGATTGCAATTGTTACCTAAGTAGATTTTGGAACTTGGTATTTCTACACATTTGTATCAATGGCAGTTCTACTACTGTGATAATTTATATATTTTCTGATGTTGCATTTCCTATTTATTTCTGTTCGTAAAGTAGAGAAATATGCTTACAGTACATGTCCATTGATCCTTTAGTATGTGCTGTAGATAAAGGCTCAACTCCTCTTCACTTCACAAAAAGAAAACTTGAATCATTATCTTAGTTCAACCCATACCACAAATCAATCCTTTTCCCATCCTAGAAACCGTCACTCTTTAGCCCTGCTGCCTTTGACACGTTGACTGAGGATGCATTGTCTTACATCCAGCCACTTGATTTCCCATCACTAGTCTCACAATAAAGAACAGTTATTAAACAAATGGCTTTGTATTTTTGTATATAGTATCTTTAAAAAGTTGCCATGTCTAGCTGGTTTTTTCAGTCACTTGTCTTAGTCTTAGAGTAAGATTTCATGTGATAGGTTTAATCTAACAAGACCTATTTTGGCAAATAAATAAAAATTTTACAAGGAGCTTTCTTTTATTCCTTTAAGAATTAAGGCATACCTCCAGCTTATGGTGGATATTGCTTCTCATAGGTGTGCATGTAGCTATGTTTAAGAATAAAGTTATCTTTCGTGTTGGTTGAGAAAGTAATGGCTTTGAAAGAAATGCATGGTTTGCTGAACGTATTTTGACTCTAAAAAGTTCAAGCACAGTTGTTAAATGATAAAACTTCCTTGAATGCAATCGTATTGAAAATTTACTGAGGAAAATTCGTAGGAAATATACTTACTTTATTAGCCCCATCTTGGCTTGATAACCCCTATTTAAAATAAAAGAAAAATTAACCAATTTGACATTTCTAAAACCAAATATAAGGTTGGATCACAATTAAATTGATATCATTTTGAATATTGCAATTTTTCTGTTGTGTCAACATCTAGGTCATTTGTGGCGTATACAAAGTACAGCAAAATGCTGATGAAAGTCTTTTTGTTCATAAGGCAATGTTTATGGATTCCCAGAATGGCTAATGGTTAAAGCAAATAAATGTGCTAGACAAAGGTCATAGCATTGTGATAAAGTATAGTGGCAAAAAGGGTAAAAATGAGTGAACTATTAGGATAAGCGGACAGAAGGGGATGAAGATACGGAAAGGAGAAATAAAGGCCATCCAAAATTAGTTGAGGCAAGAGCTGAAGTCCAAGGTAGGGGTGATCCCCTATATTGGGCCTCGGTCCTCATCTCCTAAGCCCCCCCCCCCCACTACAAAAGCAACTAGGGGATGGGGGGGTGTAAGTGATAGGTCTACCGTCGTCACTCAGCAAAGAATCAGTGTTGCATATTTATAGTAAAAGTATCCTCCATCTGAATATTAATTCACTTTGAGAATATTAGTATGAAAACTATTTGCTATACATTCTCAACATACACTTCAGTTTATTTCAAGTCCAGTGTTATATAATTTGTTAAATTCAAACTAAGCACTTCGCATATTTATTACCGTATTTCCCGCCACTTCTGAACCCCCTCTGAAAAATTATGAATAAAAAAAAACGTATTTTTTGAAGACAGAAAAAATAGGGCAAGCTTGGGTAACGGTTTCCACAAGGCCTCAGATGTTATGACTGCGGATTGTATTAATTCCGTTAAGTGTTATTACGACCATAAATATCTGAAGCACCATCCGACCAACAAATATAAACAAACGCTACAAACCTGCCTGAGGTAATGCACGCTATTTTCCTATGCTGTCTAACCTATTCTTTTGCTAATACAGTCACTTTAGACAAACTAGTTTTAAGGTAAAAGCGACAAAATGCTAAAGGATATGGAAATATCGCAGCAGAGCCAACAGTGATCCATTGATGTGACAAACAAAGGTTTGCTGTGGCAGTCACAGAGACACGAATTCGAAGGTGCGTTTTTTCAAAGAATTTCTTTGTTGTAGAGGTTGTTCTACTTACTACATGTAGCATTCTATGTAGCAGGAAAATACAGTGTCAGTTTCATTTTGTCTAATGGATAGAACGACAGAAAATGCTAATTTCATATATGGTACTTTCTTCGCAAGCTGTGAAACACGTAATACT